CCTTTGCACCCCAACCCCTCTGCCTAGCGGATGCCTCGTACTACGCATCTCAATTCAGACGTCACGGGCTCAGGGGAGTCTTCTCAGGCGGGCCCAGTGCTTTGCCTTCACAGCAGTTACCACCATGTGTAAGGACACATTCGTGTCCCTTTCTGACTAGCACCTCCCTCCCCACTGGACTGGAAGCTCCATGCCCGCACGGATCGGGCCGGTTCGCTCACCTTTGCATCCCCAGCGTCCAGCAGTGTCAGCGCATCGTATGCCCTCAGTAAACAGCTGCTGAAAAAGACGGAGAACGGCTTTTCTTCTGAGCACATGCTATGCCTGAGGCACTGAGCTAAGTGCTTACAGGCCTATACCTCCACTTCCTGAGTTCTGTTAAGTATTGTGTCTATTCCACAGCCCAGGAAGTCACCGCTCAGAGAGGTAAACTGACACATGACTCGTCCAAGATCAGCCAGCGAGCACCCAGGAGGGAGCAGGGACCCACACCCTTGTTCCCAGTCCTCAGGGCTAGGAACAAGGGTTTGTTCCCAGCGCTCAGGCCTGGCGTTGGAGCCCCGCCGACAGATGACTGTCAGGTTTATTTCCCCATCTGTGAAATGGGAGCATGAGGTTCAGCCCCGCGAAGGCGCGGAGGGAGAGTCCCTAGTATGCGCCCCCATTCAGACCCGCAAAGTCCGGTCTCGGACCAAGATGTCCCGCTCCCCAGCCTCCCCTCGGCATCCGCAGCCTCTAGCCAGACGGGGAGGGAGGCGTGGGAACTAACCGCTACCGGCCTCCGCGCTGCGCATCTTCCCACCCAGCTGCACGCATCCCAGAGCCCGAGGAGGCGGGGTGCGGTGCAGGAGGTCAAGGGTTACGGAACTCTGGTCACGTGGTCGGCGAAGGGGGCGGGGCCCCGGCGGAGGGGGCTCTAGGCCGGTCCGAGTGCGCACCGCGCAGCACTGCGGGGAGAGCTGGGGTCTGCGAGGGGCTTGCTCACCTGAGGCTCCGGCCGACGAAGGTGGCTCCCGAGCCCGCGGCGGCGGCGGAGGCGGCCCGGCTCGCCCCGCCCACACTGATTCCCTCTCAGCGCTGGGCCCGCACTCCGCGGGCACAGCCAATCCGCGAGCACCTGGCGAAGTTCCCGCCTCCCAGGAGGCTTCCAGCCACGCGATTGGTCATTGGGAAGCGCCTGTGAAATCCCCAGGCGCCAAGGCCACGTGACGTTGAAGACTCGCGCTTCTTAAAGCGATAGCTCTTGGGAGGTTGCGGGGTCGATGTGGATTGGTGTATTTTTTAATCGCCATGCTTTCTAGAAATGCGTCCCCAGGCCCTTGGCCTTGTCTGCTCCTGAGTTCCCGAGCACTTGCAATGATGCGACTGCAGCAAAGCTTTAGACTGGCTTCGTTTTCTCCACCTCCTTAGTGCAGCTCAGCTCCCCACTCCAACGTCACCTGCCATTACCCTTCCCAAAAGAATGGATGAGGCTCCCGGGTAGGTCCTCTTTGTGGCCAGAAAGATCTTCTGACTGGGCCAAACCCACGTGCAAGCTCCAAACCCCAGCGCTCTGCTCATCCGGGCAACTACCTCGTATCCTCCCCGTTCCCGCCAAATACAAACCCTCACCTACCTCGCAGACTTCCTTGACCGGTTACATGCACACATTTCCTCCAAGTTGGGCAATTCTCAATTGCGAAGCAAGTGGGCTTATTGACTAAAAGATGGTATTTGGAGTCAGACCAACCTGGATTCAAATTCGAACACTGCTTTTGGGCGAATTGCCTCGCCACGTTTCCCCATCTACAAAATGGGCAATAATACCCACCTCACAGTTACTGTAGGTTGAGATGTTTGTGAAAGCACTTTGCAGAGATGATGGTTGAACTTTCTTTCACTCACACATCATGAGGCAGACAGTAAATTCATTTCTTTATGTTTATTCAAGAAGGGGCAGTTTGCATGAGCGATTAGAGAATGGAGCTTTCTGCAGGGGAGCGAGCATGGATGTAACAGCCTCAACTCTTCCTCCTCTCGGTGTAGGAGCTGCTGCCTCTAGAAAAGATCCTCTGAGACTCCAGCTGGGAGAGCCAGGAGGATGGGAGAGGTGTTGCTAAGCAACACCGCCTAAGGAGACTGCAAACCCGCAGTTTCCTCTAGCCACATTCAGAATGGCATCTGCAGTGGGAAGTTTCAGTATTGCAGTTGGACACTGGAGTGTCTGTCCACCTGTGCGTGAAGGGAAGGACAGGTCCTGAGTCTGAGATCAGTTCAGCAGAATCTGGGCCACTGGCAGATCTTGCTAGGATGCCGGACTGGGCAGTCATTGGCAACCATGGAGGCATGAGACAATCAAAAGAGGAAGGCCCAGGGACCTGTGGGATGTTGGGAAACCATCCAAGCTATCTGGGACTCATTTGCCCCCAACCTAGTGGGGACCAAGGCCAGGCAAGGCAATAACTGTAGGAAGCGTGACCACAGACCCGGCACAGTAACCTTCCTGGTTAACAAACTGGGAAAAGCTGGCGCAGTGCCGAGAGCTGGAGATACAGAAGACAGGCACCCACGTGAATCTAAATTACCTCAATGAAATAATTGAAATTTTACTTAATTAAAAAATAAAGAGGGAGACAATAGCAAAATAATGTTTCTGACCCCCTCAGAGGCCTGAATGGAACCCCATCTAGCAGTCCAGGAGTCGGGAAGGCAAGGGGAACAGAACCATTCTCACCGTGTTCCAGGCCTTATTCTGGATGCTTCTGATAGGGGTTTCTAGACCTCGTTACTCAGATGTTTGAGGCTAAGTAACTGTTGGGGGGCTGAACTATTTACCCTGTGGGGTATTTAGCCTCATCCCTGGCCTCTATCTACTTGAAGGCAGTAACGCCCCCACCCACTTGCAACATCCAAAAATGTCCATTGCCAAATATCCCCTGGGAGCCAAAGTCACCTCAGACGACAGCCACGGCATCGTGTAGTAATTACAATTAAGTTGAATGCCTCTCATGGGCCAGGCTCTATGCCAGCCACTTGCATATACAGTAATTCCCCACTGGATGCTGCTGCTAAGTTCTCAACTTTAAACAAAATGGCACATAAGAACGGGAGAGATCAAAGGACTTGTATGCATGCTTATAAGCCTAACCAATGGACACAGACAAGGGGGTGAGGGCATGACTGGGGGGGTGGGGGTGGGGGGGAGGATGTAATGGGAGGATAAGGAAAAAATAAAATAAAGTAATAAACTTTTTTAAAATGACATATAAAAAGCAGAAACCAGTTTGGCTCAGTGGATGGAGCGTCAGTTTGTGGACTGAGGTCCTGGGTTCAATTGCAGTCAGGGGCATGTACCTTGGTTGAGGGCACATCCCCAGGAGGGGGCGTGCAAGAGGCAGCTGACCGATGACTCTCATCGATGTTTCTAACTATCTCCCTTCCTCTCTGTGAAAAATCAATAAAATATATATTTTTTTAAAAATAAAAAATGACATATAAAGAAACCAAGTTTATGCCGAAACCGGTTTGGCTCAGCGGTAGGTTTGGCTCAGCGGTGGACTGAAAGGTCCCAGGTTCGATTCCGGTCAAGGCATGTACGTTGGTTGCGAGCACATCCCCGGTAGGGGGTGTGCAAGAGGCAGCTGATCGATGTTTCTAACTCTCTATCCCTCTCTTCCTCTCTGTAAAAAATATCAATAAAATATTAAAAAAAAGAACAAAAAGCAAAAAAACTCTTTAAACAAAAAAGAAACCAAGTTTATGAGACTAACTGACACAAGCAGGAGGTAAGTTGCAGCCCAGCAGGTGTGGCTCAGTGGTTGACTGTGGATCTGTGAACCAGGGGGTCAGTTCTATTCTTGGTCAGGGCACATGCCCGGGTTGCAGGCAGGATGCCCAGTAGAGGGCGTGCAGGAGACAGCTGATCAATGATTCTGTCATCATTGACATTTCTCTCTCCCTCTCCCTTTCACTTTGAAATCAATAAAAACATATTTTTAAAAAATGTTAATATATATATTTTTTAAAATTGGTAAGGAATCTTACCAATGTTATAAAGAAACGTTGAATGAAAAAAGAAACGTTGAACAAAACAATGTTGAAAGAAACGTTATTGCAGGACCTGCAGTAGCAGCCATCCAAAGAGGGTGGAATGCCCATTTCACAGTGAGGAAACGTAGTCACAAACAGGGCTGCGAGCAGGGCTGCAGCAACTCCAACCCCAAGCTTCCTGCTGCACAGCTCTGCTTTCTGCAGGACTCAGGAAGAACTACAGGGATTTGCTAGAGGAGTGGGCAGGAAGCAGCCAGGCTGGGGAAGGGCACTCCAGATGGACCAATAGTATTTCAGAGAGAGGGAGACTAATAGTATGGCAGAGAGAGGGAGAGGAGGATGTGTTTAGTCCTGCAGCCACTTCATCAGTTCAGGTTAGTACAGCGATTGCTCAGCACACAAAGGCCTCTGTACGCATCCTAGGCAGAACTGTGCGGGCACCCAACAGTCTGTTCTTACGGTCCTCTTGTTCACCTCCCTTGTTGTCTGCTCTCCCAGCTACGCTCTAGGTCATTTTTAGGGAGAGGGAAGGGAAAGCATGAGGAAACTAGACTGGTATTCAGAGCGGCTCTAACAATATCATTTGCTGGAAGCCAAAGACGAAACCTTAGCACCTTTCCTTCAACGAGGGCTGCTGTAGACTCTGGCCAAAGGGTTACTGGTCAGATCCCCCTGTGGTGGAGGCTAGTTGAAGCATCGGGCCAAGAAATGAGGGGCAAGCACCAACTACAGTTTAAAAAGAAGCGCTTTTACCAAAGGGTAACAGTTCCAAAGAACCAAAGGGCACCAGGGTCAGAACACAGCCAGGATCTGGGAGTGGCTGCTAAGCCGGAAGAGGAGTCGGATGTCTTCCCGAACAAGGAGCCTTCCTTGCCTCTCCCACAGCAGCCAGACTGGGCCAATCGACAACATGGGAGGTGTGACCATCACGCTCCCTAGATAAGAGTCAAACAAAGGAGAAGGTGCGGTGTTCAGCTCACAAGCCCTAGGAGAAGAGGAAAAGCTGTTGGTTAGACCAGAGCCTGGGGCAGTGGTACCTGCACTTCCCATCCCAAGGGCACACGTCCTGGATCTTCCCAGCAGACGGCAAGACAGTTCCCTCCATCTGTGCCTCAAGCATCAAATCCCACCTCCACCCCTGTCCCCACACACCCCTTCCCGGGCAGCAACCCGGCAGGCATGATTGGACACTCACCCAAGTAATCGTCCATCAAAGAGCCGATAGCGAACTGCAGGAGAAAAGGTAAAAAAGGAAATGAGGCCTAAGCGAGCACTGACCTATCCTCTAAGCCCCAACCCCAGGCCTTCTGCCCACCCCTTCCCGCTCCGGACAGAAGAGCACAGACCCCCAGGAAGTCGTGGTGCGAGGCCAATAGCTCCCAGCTCTGCCTGGCACGGGAAGAGAGGCAGACAAGAGACTCACAATGTCATTCTTATCCACACGGGTCCCCACGATCTTCAAACGGATCTCATCGTCCTGCTGGATCACAATGTCCTGGGAGGAGGGAACAGAACACTCAGACTCCCCACCCTTCCCCCACCTCCACCCTGCAAACCCCAGCCAATCCTCTCCCTCAGAGCGGCTCACGCCCTCCTGTCTCTGACTTCTTCCTACCCGCTCACCTCGTCCATTGTCTTGTAACAGGGTGGGTTGGAGTTAGGATCAAACTCCATCTCGGACGGGATGGACTGGAAGGAAAGTGAGACTGGCTGAGCACTCTGAGTGGATGCTGAAGGAGATGGTCCCGGATGGGGGGTCTCTCCTCAGCCCCGCCCAGCGTGCCCACACTCACATGGCGGGAGATGAAGCAGGACATGGGTCCAATTTCTGTGAAGAGTCCAACCTGGAAGCAAAAGGAGTGGCCCTTGCTTTTACTTTTGTGCAAACCAAGTCTTCTCAGCGTCTCGTCTTTCTCTGACTCCTAATAAACTCTCCACGTATTGAAACCACACCAAACCGTAACGGTTTCATTTCTCTTTTTTCAAGCATTCGTTGTAAGGTAGGCAAACACAGTGTAGTGGTGAGAACTGCGGCCTGGGACTTCAACACTTGTTGGTCACATGACCTTGGCCACCAGACTTAGTTGCTCTCAGCCTAAGCTTCTATAAAAAGGGATAAAAGCACCGCCTGTCAGTCACTGGGAGGCTTTACACATCACCTGGCTCACAGTAGCTCCTCCACCAGTGGATGCTACTACCATCATGACTATTAACACGGACTGACATGCACCTGAGACAGGACCACTTGACAGGTGAGAAAACTGAAGCACAAAGAAGTGATGTGGCCAAGGACGCACGGTTAGCAAGTGGAGTCAGGACCCACCCTACAGCTCCTGAGCGACCACCCACTTCCTTCCCGTGTGCGGTCTCACCTTGTTGACCTGAGTGACAACAGCATCCACGACTTCCCCTTTAAAGGGCCGGAAAACGATGGCCTTGTACTTAACCGGATACAGGACGAAGCCCCTGCCGGGCTGGATCACACCCGCACCAATATTGTCGATGGTGGTGACAGCAATGACAAAGCCATACCTGCAAGGAGGATGACAGAGAGAAAGGCACAGTATGTGGAAGAGCCTCCAAAACCACCTGCAACAAGAATCAGAGACAGCCGAAACCAGTTTGGCTCAATGGATAGAGCGTCGGCCTGCAGACTGAAGGGTCCCGGGTTCGATTCCGGTCAAGGGCATGTACCGTGGTTGCGGGCACATCCCCAGTAGGGGGTGTGCAAGAGGCAACTGATTGATGATTCTCTCTCATCAATGTTTCTGACTCTATCCCTCTCTGTGAAAAATCAATAAAATATATATTTTTTTAAAAAAAATCAGAGACAGCACAAAGGGGCAGTAGACGGCACCCCTGCCCCAGAGCTTAGTGGCCAAGAACGACAGGACACGGATCAGTATCTGTCACGCCAAACATTGCTCTCATAGCTTCACAAAAAATGTCCCAGGAGACTGCAGTGCTTGAGCCAAGAGACCCTCAGAATCGCTGGGAGGAGCCAATTAAAATGCAGAGTGCCAGCCCCGTCCTGAGAATTGAGTATGTAGTGATAGGGTGAGGCTCGGGAACCTGTGTTCAAAAATGTCCCGGTTATTTTAATGATGGAGGCCAAGTACTCCTCGGTGCTAGGCTCCTCCCAGCTCACACACACATGTGCGAGTCCTCTCTGTACACAGCCCAGAGATGTGCCGTGTCAGGTCCCTGGGCATGGGGGGCATGGGAACCAGCAGAATCACAGGCGGAGGGAGGTGATGAGAGTGTGAGCTCCATCAGGGCTGGCCTCCCTCTAACTCTGGGGTCCTTGTTCCCAGCGACCAACACAGGACCTGGTACCCAAGGGGGCTTTGGAAATGCTGGCGGAGGGGATGCATAGCCAGCCTCCGCTGAGGGGGGAAATCTTGTGATCTAGCTTTGCAGAAAGCGCCCTGGGCACCCGAGGAAGGAACCACTGATTGCCTAGGCGCCTACGAGGGCTCCCCAGAGCAGGGGGCAGGACCCTGCAGGAGGCGCTGGGGACCGGGCTGCATGCGGCCCGGGGAGCGCGGCACTCACTTGCCGGTACAGGTCCCCTCCACCTCGGTGAAGAGCTTCTGCTTCACCGTGTTGAGCAGGTTGGGGCCGAAGTAGCGCGGGTGCAGCAGGATCTCGTGCTCCAAGGAGATCTGCGGGGAGAGGGGATGGAGACCGGGCAGGGCTCAGCGGGCAGGCGGGGCGAGAAGCGGCCGCCGGCCCGGCGCCCCGCCCCGCGCTGCCCGGAGCCTGCCCTCGCCGCCGCCCGGTGCCCGCTCACGTGGTAGAACATGTTCCTCGGGCGCTAGGACAGCAGCCGCCTCCACACCTCCCCGGGCAGCGGCTCCACCGGCCCGACCGGAAGTACACGCAGCCGCCTCAAGGCCGCTTCCGGGCCTCCGCGGACCCGATTGGACCTCGCTGTGGTGGGCGGGGAAACCCACGAAGCCCCGCCCCCTCCCGCCCACAAGCGACCCAACCGGCGGCTCTCTTAAATTCATGGTCCAGAGCAGATGCTCAATAAAGAGTTTCTTTTGTTCTCTTTTTCTTTTCTTTTTTTGAATAAAGAATTTTAAGCCCTGGCCGGTTTGGCTCAGTGGATAGAGCGTCGGCCTGTAGACTCAAGGGTCCCAGGTTGGATTCCGGTCAAGGGCATGTACCTTGGTTGCAAGCACATCCCCAGTACGGAGTGTGCAGGAGGCAGCTGATCGACGTTTCTGTCTATCCCTCTCTCTTCCGCTCTATAAAAATCAATAAAATATATATTTTTAAAAAAAGAATTTTAGCCGGGACCGGTTTGGCTCAGTGGATAGAGCGTCGGCTTGGGGACTGAAGGGTCCCGGGTTCGATTCCGGTCAAGGGCATGTACCTTGGTTGCGGGCATATCCCCAGTAGGAGGTGTGCAAGAGGCAGCTGATCGATGACTCTCTCTCATCGATGTTTCTAACTATCTCTCCTTTCCTCTCTGTACATAAGCAATAAAATATATTTTTTTAAAAAAATAATTTTATGCCAAAGCCGGTTTGGCTCAGTGGTAGAGCGTCGGTCTGCGGACTGAAAGGTCCCGGGTTCGATTCCGGTCAAGGGCATGTACATTGGTTGCGGGCATATCCCCAGAAAGGGGTGTGCAAGAGGCAGCTGGTCGATGTTTCTCATCGACGTTTCTAGCTCTCTATCTCTCTCCCTTCCTCTCTGTAAAAAGTCAATAAAATATATATATATATAAAAAAAATAATTTTAAATGGAATTAATTAGTGAAAGATGGCATGAATAAAACGCTTTAACAGAGGACATTCGTTTAGCACGCCTGGTAGATGGTGCCAGACTTGAGTTAGATTGTAGGACACCCAGCTGCTGGTGTCTGGCAATCGCTTGGATGTGGGTGGGGGGCTGGGGAGAGGCTAGCGGCGGTGTAGGGAACACATTGTAATTGGAGCCAGAATCATTGGTAATAAATAGTTGAAACTTGTCCACCTCTTTTTTTCCCAACAAGTTTGCTTCCAGAACACAGGTGTGTCGTGAAAACCGCCACTAAATCAAACGCAAAATGGGAAAGGCAGATTCATATCAACATCGTCACTATTGGACCCATCTATTCAGGCGAGCCCACCACTGCTGGGCACCTGACCTACAAATGTGGTCGGATTCATAGGAGAACCATCGAAAAATGAGATGGGAAGAGCTCCTTCAAGTATGCCTGTGTCTTGGATAAACTGAAAGCTGATCATGAGCTTGGTATCACCATTGATGCCTCCTGATAGGAAATTGGAGACTTGCAAGGATTATGTGGCCATCACTGATGCCCCAGGACACGGACTTTATATCAAAAACATGATTACAGTAACATACATATTTTTTAATGTTTTTTTAATTTTAATGGAGAAAAGGGAGGACAAGCCCTTCCCACCCAGAACAGGTAATCCAATTCCAGCCAGCAGCTATCTTTAAACAATGTGTTCATTTACATTTGAATGGCTACGACTTTTGATAGCCTAAGGGCAACTTTACATGTCAACAAGTTTGCTCCTCAGTTCCCAGGGCAGAAAAAACAAGGTTTAAAATGATTAGATTTTAAAATTTATTTTTAAAAATATAAAAGTTGCCAAAACCGGTTTGGCTCAGTGAATAGAGCGTCAGAAAGGTCCCGGGTTTGGTTCCAGTCAAGGGCATGTACATGGGTTGCGGGCACATCTCCAGTGGGAGGTGTGCAAGAGGCATCTGATCAGTGATTCTCTCTCATCGATGTTTCTAACTCTCTATCCGTCTCCTTTCCTCTCTGTAAAAAATCAATAAAATATATATTTAAAAATATAAAAGTTTATTAATTTTTAAAAAACCAAGGAAATTAAAAAACCTGATGAACAATATTAACTGTTGATTATAATAGAATCAGAGATACAGGAGGGGAGTGGACTGACAATTCTCGGGGAAAAGGGGAGTGGTGGATGCGGGAAGAGTGAAATATAGTGGCAACCATATTTTGGTAAAAACTGCTGTTTGAATTTCAACCCTATAGTTTGGCCCCTGCATCTGATTAAAACACAGGGTACTTACCTCAGCTTCCAGGTGAAGACCTGAAGGCTAAGGCAATTTTCCCTTGCCTGGGACCAGGACCACAGGAGATTGATTCCCATTGACTCAGTAGCTTCAGGGATAGAAACTGTAGATAACCTTTAGAGACTATCCGCTGAGCTCTGCTTCTGTGTTATTGCTATCGCAAGATAGGACCACATTCCAATATCCAGCGGGATGTGACTGGGAACCGACCCTGTGGGCTGTCCCCAGTCTTTAGAATTTAGTCTTTAGGATTTTAGGAACAAAAGGAAAATTCTTGCGGTTTAAACCTTTAAAAGGAATTGCCTACCCCTGAAATGGTGCAGTCATTTGGAATCCACCTGCGTGTGGTGCTCTTGTGGCTGTCCAGGCCAGTACAATAAATCCTTGCTTGCTTTTTTTTTTTTTTTTTAATTAATTAGCCAGTCTCCGGTGGTCTTATTTTGAACCCAGGGTTCGACCCCACAACAAAGAGACTGAACATAAACTGTGCACCTATGGATGAGGACAATGGATGGGAAAAGGGTAGAGGGTGGGGTGGGAACCTGGTGGAGGGGGGGGAAATGAGGAACTTTTGTAATTATACGAACAATAAAGATTGATTTAAATATATATATATATATTTATATATATATATATATATTTTTTTTTTATTTTTATTTTATTTTTTTACAGAGAGGAAGAGAGAGGGTAGAGAGTTAGAAACATTAATGAGAGAGAATCATCAATCAGCTGCCTCTTGCACCCCTACTGGGGATGTGCACGCAACCAAAGTACATGCCCTTGACCGGAATCGAACCTGGGACCTTTCAGTCTGCAGGCGCCACTCTATCCACTGAGCCAAACCTGCACTGGTTTTGGCAATAAAATATACTTAAAGAAAAAACATGATTACAGGCACTTCTCAAGCTGACTGTGCTGTCCTGATTGCTGCTGCTGGTGTTGGTGAGTTTGAAGCAGTGTCTCCAAGAATGGACAGACCCGTGAGCATCGCCTCTGGCTTACACACTGGGTGTGAAACAGCTGATTATTGGTTAACAACATGGATTCCACTGAGCAGTCCTTGCAGCCAAAAGAGACCCGAGGATATTGTTAAAGAAGTCAGCACTCAGCCCTGGGTGTGTTTACAAGTGGAACTGGCTCCACATACGGGTCAAAAACAGAACTCTCAATTCCACTCCCATTGTCCCCATCTCAGAAGATGGCTCTGTCAGCCACACCACTGCACATGCTACAATTCTGGCCATCCTTGACGTCCTTTTCTCTCTTGTCCCTCATCTCTTATCTTAATTTTTTTTTTTTTTTTACTTTAGAGATTGTGTGTGAGAGACACAGAAACATCGATTTGTTGTTGCATTTATTGATGCATTCACTGGTTGATTCTTGTATGAGCCCAACAGGAGATCAAACTGCAACCTTGGCACATTGGGACAATGCTCCCACCTACTGAGCTACTCCACCAGGGCCCTCATTTCCTATCTTAATTTTGGCAAAGTCTGTTGACCTTGTACTTTGCTCTAGCTCTGCTACCACTACCCTTGTGTAGCCACTATCGTTTCCTGCTCCCACTTTTATCCTCTATGGTCATTTACCACAGAGTAGCCAGGGTAAGCCTTTAAAAACAAGAATCACATAAAAACACTTCCCTGCTTAAAACCCACTAATGGGTTCCCATTACACGCAGAATACAATACCAACTCCTCACTGTGGCCAATGAAATCCCAGGCCACCCATCTGTGTGACGCCAGATTTTCTTCATATAATCAAAACAACATTCCGTAATGGCTTGGAGCAGATGTGTGAATCCAGCTGTCTTCTATTAAGCCAGACATTAAGGAAATTTGGAAAAATGTAAAGCAATGCCACTATTTTCACTACATGTTTTTGGTTTGGGAAAATATAGTACTTTTTCACACACACACACACACACACACACACACACAGACACACAGTATTACGTTGGTTTTAACTGCTATACAATAAACACTGTATGGCCGGGACCGGTTTGGCTCAATGGATAGAGCATCGGCTTGGGGACTGAAAGGCCTTGGGTTCGATTCCGGTCAAGGGCATGTACCTTGGTTGCGGGCATATCCCCAGTAGGGGGTGTGCAAGAGGCAGCTGATCGATGACTCTCTCTCATGGATATTTCTAACTCTCTATCTCTCTCCCTTCCTCTCTGTACAAAATCAATAAAAATATATATATTTAAAAAAAATCAATAAAATATATATTTTTTTAAAAGAATTTCTTTAAAAAACAAACAAACAAAAAAACACTGTATGGCTTGGAAGGGTATCTTGAAGAGGTGGGGTCTCCAGCTGAGGCCATGACGCCTGCAGGCCTCCAACACCAGGATGGAGAGTAGATGAACTGACCCTGGTTCTGATTAGCTTTGGTTGGAGGGCGTGGCTGTAGAACCAATGGAGAGGCTAGTGTGGGTGAAAGGGGAGCAGTGGGTTACAGGCACTGGATTAACCCTCTGGGAACCCGTCAACATGTTGCTCTGGTCAGGAAAGAGGCAGGTGTCACTAACTCCCAACCTACAGCCCTTTCCTTTGTCTAGGGACTTCTCCAAGACTTCTTCAAAACAGCCATGGCCCTGACCGGTTTGGCTCAGTGGATAGAGCGTCGACCTGCGGACTGAAGGGTCCCAGGTTCGATTCCGGTCAAGGGCATGTACTTTGGTTGTGGGCACATCCCCAGTGGGGGGTGTACAGGAGGCAGCTGATGGATGTT